GGAGAGTACGGGGGAGGGAGTACTTCGGGATGCTTTTTCACATTTTTCTGAAGTCCTTCTCTGCTAGCCGCGCTCGGCTCCACGAACTATTCACAGCTCATACCTGCTCGTAGTGCCTGCAAGGGTCAAATCAGTTCTACCCTTGTTTTACTTCTGTCACCACGTCACTTAACTTCCCCCTCCAAAGACGCGGACCGCAGGCAAACTTGCCGTCCAGGTGCGGGCCGACTGGTCTGGCCTTTCCTCGCACATTTTTCTCTTCTTGAACTTCTTCCTCTTTTTCTTCCAGTTTCTTAATGACATTTCTGTCTCTTCTGCAAAGAGAGTCACTTCTTGTGGAAGTAGATTGTGTGAGTAAGGCCTGACTCCACCTTGAGTATCTGGTCGCTGATGATCTCCACCAACATTTCGGGGAACTCCACTTTCAGGGCCTGGGACTCACGAAAGGTGTAGAAACAGAAATCCAACAGGTTCCCCACAAGCTGGACAAAACAGAGACACAATCGATGAGAAACACATGCACACATTAGAAGCTTTTTACTGCTGGTTTCACATCTGACAATTTAGAATAATATATAAGCATTTTTCAAAATATGTGATAATACAGGTTAGGGATCGGAACGATTAATACAATATTCGAAATTATTCAGGTATTCGAATATGAGTTATGAATATTTTTATTGTAATTATTATTTTTTATTTTTTTCTGGGAGGGGTGCCTAAGTTGATTACATATTATCAAATGGAATAATTCAATGTATATGACAGTGCCATAGCTAAATGTGATCTCTCTCTCTCGCGTCCGGTTATACTTCACTCACGTTTATGTCCAAATCCATCAGATCTAGTTNTCTTGTCGGCTCCTAGACCGTAGTCGAGGAGGGCAGAAGCAACGAGCTTCAGGAGAGCTCGCCTCTCTCCAGTCATTTAAGCTAAAGTGGGTTATTGAACCTGAAGCTCGTTGCTTCTGCCCTCCTCGACTACGGTCTAGGAGCCGACAAGAAAGTTCAACACACAGATGGCCAGTCCGCCCCTTTGTAGCATATTATTTCGATAACAGATGAGCAGATCGCCACTGGGCTTTCAACTAAATACACAGCCACGCAAAAACTGCGGCATTTGTACAGCTCCTTATGGGTACTGCAATTAGTGAAGTGCTTTATTCCTCTGTGGTGAAACGATCAGCACTGCACCACGGAGGAAAGCGGCAGAAAGTCACCTGGAGTAAAGAGAACGGGGCTGCGTTGCGTGCATGGCTTCCTTCTGCAGGTAACGAGGAGACGCTCTCTGGCGGCGGTCTCGTTCAGGATCGGAAAATACAATTTCAATATTTTGCACACTTATTCCACTTATTCCTAGTGTGCCACTGGTTACGGTGCCGCATGCCAATGGTGGCACGCGTGCCAGGGGTTGCCGACCCCAGTGAGGAATACTAAGTTTAATTAAATGTCCTCGAGATCAGTTAAAAAAAATCAGAAACCCTCCAGCTAGTAAAACTTTATCTCTCGAGGTCAATGAAAGTGTAGAAAAAGAGTGAATTTGAAGAAGTTAAACGGACAGGTGAAGAGATTTCACACTCAAAATGTGATGATATGCAGGAGAGCAGCAGAGACAGTTTAAATAGCTTCAAAGGATGCCTTTGAAGACAAAAACATTGGTGACAACTCACATTTATAACATCTCTGAAACCATTTCAGATAGGAGTGTGAAATTCTGGCTTTGCTTCCTTCCCCTGCAGGACATGCACACACGCCAACTTCAGAAAAATATCCGACTCTCTCCAGTCTGGAGAATTTCACGCTGGATAATCCAAATTCAATTTCAATAGCGCTGCCTTTTTACCAGAGCCTGATTCTGCAGCGGGTTTCTATGAAATAAGATCCACCAGACTTTCACTGCCTCAGGGAAGAGGGATTATTTACTTATCTTCAATTTGCTCATATTTAGTTTATAAAAAGCTTGCTGAGGTAAAACCTTGTAATGTTAGCGAACATTATTTCTTAAATCTTTCTTCCTATCTAATCTCACAAATGGAGTGATGCACAATAGTGGTTTATCCAGGGGTGTATAGAGTAATCTCAAGAGAGGGCTTAATTTGAGAGGTCCATTTCATTTCCCTGCACTGGCGGGCTGCACAACGGCATGCCGAACAGGATACACAATCCTCCCTCTACAACTTTTAATAATTATAAAACGACCCAAGAAAAGGCAAAAAAAGGAAAGTTAAGCTGCTTGTGGCATTGATTTTCTTTCCCAGCAGTCACTCAGTAGACGGAGAGAAGATGGAGTGACAGCAGGGAAGGGGGAGTGAAGAGAGTGGGAGTGAGGGAGAGAGAGAGAAAAAAGCATGTGGAGTGAGAATGAGGAGACAGACAGGAAGAGCGGAGCGAGAGAACTGAGAGAGAGGGGGCGGAGATTGGGTGAACTATGACCAAGGAAGTATGAACACTCACTTGGCCAGATGCTTCATGAGCAGCCCGAGGACTTGTCGATTCCTCTCCGGTAGTTTGTGGACCAGGCAGTGGACGGCTTGGATGCGAGACTCTGGACTACCGCCCTCTGTTCAAACGCAGAAGCAGCCATGCACTGGCATTAAATTACACACATTTCTCTGGTGGCAAAGGGCCAAATCAGCTGCGATCGATAGTGTACACATTTAGCAAACTGTATATCTTGTGTCATCATGTCTCTACATTTGCAATGAAAATTTGAGCAACGGGCAATTTAAGTTACAGACACATGATTTAAATGTATTTTGTGGAAGAAATAGTCCCTTAAAGACTATAAAAGTCCTATCAAATATTTGGATACATTTAGGAAAAACAGAAAATTGAACCAAACTTTTAAGGCCACATTGATCAGAGGCCATCACCCTCAAGTATAAGGATATGAGGATGATCCATTGCAGTTTAAATAACTGAAGAAGAGGAGTGAAAGTGATATATGGTCTGAAGCCTCCAACATTTGGCAGCAGGAGCCACTATGCTGGCGAAGGAGATAGCTTTACGTTACTGTCGCTACGGTATAAAAGGGTTGTGTTAAAACCCCCAAGATCATCTCTTAAACATTTCCTCACACATGGGCATCTGACCGCCCACACACACAAACACATACTCATATGCAGACACACAAAACATCATTACTATGGGAACGACAAGGATTTAAACATGAAAAAAAGCTGCTTATGGGTGCTGTCATCCATCAAATATATTCATCACTAATCCATTTTTTCCCCCTTGTTATGAGGGCATTGCGAGCGCCTGATAAAAATGTCAACCTGATCCAATTATAGCACTTGTTGTAATAAGATTCAAGTCTTGGCTTGCTTTAAAAACATTTGCCACATAAATGATGTTATGTGGGCGAAAGAAATGTGTGTTTTTGCTGTTTGAGGTCACAAACTGGACCATTTGAGGGCATGCAGCGTTTTGATTATTTTAGACCTATTAGCTATCACGTTTAATGGCCTTTTGGTGTCAAGTTAGAACGGGTGGAAATAAGATCAAGATGGGCAGTAAGCTAATATGGGCTTCTTAAGATGCTAATAATTGTCAGAAACATGGTGTTGTTAAACAGTCTGAAATGTATGTCTGAGCCTAATTCAGCTAAAAGGCCTTTTGGTCAACCAGATTGGATAAACTGTAATCCCTGGGAGTCAACAACAAATATATTCACATTTCTCATTTAAAACAGTGTCCTCAGATGTTGGGAGTGCAGATTTCTGAAACCAAGTAAGGAGACATAAAGGTATAGCATTAAACATTAGAGTTTTTTTAACAGGAATCTGTCGACTGTTTGAGTCTAAAAATGAGGACAACTGTGGATAGATCCTAATCAGCATTCAAGACACACACAGACCAATAGCTTTCAGACTATGAGTCCCTTACTTTGGAGGATTGACCAATACAATCCCTTTAAAGAATTGGTTGAAAACGTACAGAAAGTTAT